AAAAACGCAGAAGAGATTCAAGAAAAGCACAGTATAACAGAGAAAAAAATATAGAAAAATAACAAAGAAAAGACTCCACTAGGGTAATCTGAGCTCAGCTGCGTGTGAGCATGAGCAAGATAAAATAAAAACACCGAGGAGATTCAAGAAAAACACAGTAAAGCAGAGAAAAAGTACAGTCAAATAAATAAAGAAAATTACTTTCGAAGAAATTCTAATCATTCGGAAAATAATTCGCTGGCGTAATCTATGCGTAGCTGCGTGGGAGCACGAGCGAGATTTGTCATCAACTGACCAGTGCGGTGGCCGCTAGGTACCCTGGTACCTGGGTGGGCGAGCGACAATGCGTAAGCGGTGGCATGGTTCGATTGACAGAGGAAAGGGGACCGGTCAGACGTAGGGGAAAGGTTCAGGCTGAACCGTTCAGCACAGCGCAGCGTCAGTCACCGGGTGGGGAAGAGAGGCGGAGAGGGAACACTTCCCCTCGAGTGAAATAGAAAAAGGCAGAATCCTTCGAAGTTTATATTAATGATATATATTTTGGAAACAACCTATACACCGATACGTCGCAATTTCAAGAGAACTTCGGTGGTTTTTATTTCATATAATTAAATGTTCATTATATTTCATAAACAAGATGTTTGAATTAATACAACAACAGGAAACGAAATTTTTCGTCATTGATTGCCCTAGTGAAAAGAGAGAAAAAGAGAAAAGAAAAGAAAAACACTTCTGCGTGGTCAATTTTTTATGAACAGCCCTGTCATTTCTTTTTTAATTTTAAATACTTATATTAAAACGCGTGATATCGAAAATCTAAGCTCAGATTCGGATTTTTCGTGAAAAATCCATGCGATTTCATGTATCATAGGTTAGCATTGCATGGAGGGAAGAGATTAAAGAAAAGAAAAGAAAAGAAAAGAAAAAACTACTTCTGCATGATCAATTTTTGATTAACAGCCCTGTCATTTCTTTTATGATTTTAAATATATTAAAACGCGTGATATCAAAAATCTAAGCTCAGATTCGGATTTCTCGTAAAAAATCGATGGTATTTCATGTATCATACGTTATCATTCCATGAAGGGAAGAGATTAAGGAAAAGAAAAGAAAAGAGGAAACTACCTCTGCGTGATCAATTTTTTATTAACAGCCCTGTAATTTATTTTATGATTTTAAATATATTAAAATGCGTGATATTGAAAATCTAAGCTCAGATTCGGATTCCTCGTTAAAAATCGATGGGACTTCATGTATCATAAGTTAGCATTGCATGAAGGGAAGAGATTAAACGTAGGCGTACTAATTCCATCATCCCTTACGGAAAGAAACTCTTTATCTATGCCGCCGCGCCGGCCGATCGGAATCTGTCAGGAATCTGTCGAGGCGCCACTAGGCGAAGATTTCGTCCCGAGGAATTTCTCTCACGATAAATTCTTCTTCTTCCTGTGCTGACCCATATTTGACTGATCAGTGTTGCCACATTTAGCTTCTTTCCCTCATGCTATGCAGACTTGTAATACATGAAATTGCATCGATTTTTCACGAGGAATCCAAATTTTAGCTTTGTTTTTGGATATCTCGCGGTTTTATGTAAGTCCGAAGAATTTCCCTAACGATAAATTCTTCTTCTTCCTGTGCTTACCTCCTCGCCCATATTGGACTGATCAGTGTTGCCACGTTTAGCTTCTTTCCCTCATGCTATGCAGACTTGTAATACATGAAATTGCATCGATTTTTCACGAGGAATCCAAATTTGAGCTTTGTATTTGGATATCTCGCGGTTTTATGTAAGTCCGAAGAATTTCCTCAACGATAAATTCTTATTCTTCCTGTGCTCACCTCCTCACCCATATTGGACTGATCAGTGTTGCCACGTTTAGCTTCTTTTCCCTCATGCTAATGCTAAAATGCTAAGTCGGCTCCTGTTAGATCGATTTTCGTGAAACTCGGTACCCGGAGGTATTTTTCAACGGGAAACTCGAATTTTTTGTCAAATTTTCAAAATTTCAAAATCCAAGATGGTGGCGGTGGCCTAAAATGCTAAGTCGGCTCCTGTTTGATCGATTTTCGTGAAACTCGGTACCCGGAGGTATTTTTCAACGGGAAACTCGAATTTTTTGTCAAATTTTCAAAATTTCAAAATCCAAGATGGTGGCGGTGGCCTAAAATGCTAAGTCGGCTCCTGTTTGATCGATTTTCGTGAAACTCGGTACCCAGAGGTATTTTTCAACGGGAAACTCGAATTTTTGGTCAGATTTTCAACATTTCAAAATCCAAGATGGCGGTCGTGGCTTAAAATGCTAAGTCTGCTGATTGTGGATGAGGACAATGATAACATATTCGCCACTTTTCACCATACTTCGTTAAAAAAAAGTAAATTCGTTCTTTTAAAAGTTAATAGCTATGAGGGGCGGCTCGCGGAACGAGTCGCAAGTTCATCGCGAAGTGAGGAACTGGGGGTCCAGGGGCCCTCCCCGGCTAGGCGTGACAGCTCCCACAGTGAGCTGAACACGGCTAGTAGTTTACATATGTCTTGGATATGAGCGGCCCAGAGCCGCTCTCCAGCGGCAGTGCGCTGGAGTTACTGCTTGTTTTAAAATTTTGCAAGATATTACAAGGGGTTTTTCATAAATCGATCTCGCACTCGTGTTTTTTTTTATTTATTTTTTTTTTTAATGTTTTATTAAAGGTTTTTAATAGGACTAATCAATGACGACTTGTCTCGTTTCGCGTTTCCATTAAACTGAACATCTTGAAATTGGAAACCATCATTAAATGGAATAAAAACCATCTGAATTCCTTTAAAATTGCGGACGAATCAATCTATGATGGGGTTATCCCTAGATTACGTGACGACAAATTTTCGGGGTGTTTGCCCCCCCCCCAAACCTTGCAAGTTTGTCGTCACGTAATTTAGGGGTGACCCTATAGATAGATTCGTCCGCAATTTTAAAGGAATTCTGATGGTTTGTATTCCATTTAATTATTGATTTAAATTTCGTTTTGGTCGATTGAAAAAAAGGGTTCATTGACATTAAAGTGTTGTTACAAAACACTTTAAACCTTTGGAATCAATATGGTTGTTGTTAGAAAGATGCATTATCTCTAAACATTAACTTTTCGGGACATATAAAATATTAAAACTCGGAAAAAAAGTGTAACCAAGTTTGCAGATACTTCACGAGATCAAACAGTGCGGTCTGGTTCCATGAATTATCGTCAGAATTTCGTTTTTACAATCACTTTCCCTTTTCAGACAAGCTACGAGAGCTTCGATGGGTTCGTTATTCTACACGGCACGGACACACTATCATACACTGCATCTGCCTTATCATTCATGCTGGAAAACCTCGGCAAACCTGTCATTGTAACTGGATCTCAGGTTAAAACGATTTTTTATACAAATATACTTTTTATAATGATTAAAATATAATGTCAGACACATTATTCCGTAACATTTTCGATATATTAATATTAAGGTGATGCTTCGATGGACGTCGTATTTTGTGTCAAAACGACTTGCGATATGTCGCATAGATTAGTTCCATGTTTTCAGTTTCAGACGTCGTCAATTTTATCGAATATTGAGATCGCATTTCCGTCGTCACGAGATCAAAGAATTCCCTCACCTTTCGGAGACAAATTCAACGTAATAAAGACGGGGTTTTTTAGAGGAAAAATCTCCCATTCGAGTGCAGTTTCGATATCAGTATCGAATGCGATACTTTCCCCGAAAAACCCCCTGCCCTTATTACGTTGAATATGTTTGTCAAATTTGGTCAGTGAATTCTTTAGTCCTCGTGACAAACAGACATGCGATCTCAAAATTCGATAAGTCATAATTTGAATCAGACACTCTAAACATTCTCAGAGAAAAATCCATATATTTCCAAGAAAATGAGTGTTTTATCAGAGAATATTTAGCAATTTACAAATGTTCATACTGCTCTACCTTTCAGCACAGTAGAATTCGAGGTTTAGGTCGTGCCTCAGCCCTATTTTGGAACTTACCGATGGATGATTAGAACAAAGAAATTGAATCAAAACCACTCGTGTGTTGTGGAGGATTTTTTCGTCTAGTCTTTGATTTTGAAGTCAATTTTTTCATCATTTGCCTTTTCTGATTGGCAAAGCTTGTTACCGCGCAACTTCTAAAACAAAGTTGCGTTGCAATGCGGTTTTATTTTTGAGTGTACATTTCTGAAGGTTCAACGATTAAATTTTTTCATAATATCGACATTTTTCTTACATACATATGAAGCCACTTTTATGGCGCTCTCTGGCGCTCTGCGACACCTAGCTGCCAAAGTTCCCTATCCTATCCTCCCAAAGCCCTTCGGGGACATTTTTCTTGACTTTGATATGATTTCAGATGCCCATTTTTGAGCTGCGGAGTGACGGAAGCGACAATTTTGCCTCGGCAGTCCTTTTAGCTGGCAATTACGATATTCCTGAAGTTACCGTGTTCTTCCATAATCGGCTTTATCGCGGTAACCGAACCTTGAAAACCAGCACGGGTAGCTTCGATGCGTTCCATTCACCGAATTTCCCACCTATCGCTGAGGTTGGAATCAGCTTGGAAGGTAAGACATATAATTTTTATATAGATCAAACACGCAAATCCAGGCCCGCCACATCTCATCTCGGGTCCTGTTACCAGTTTTAAGGTCCGGACCCCAAGGATGGGGGGGGGGGGGGGGGTCCGAGGGGTATCCCCCGAGAAATTTTCAGGATTCAAAATAATTAAGAATTCTGCAGAACGATAATCCTGGTAACAGGGCTTGGCTGTTCTGAAAACGCCTTCAAATGCGGCGTGATACCTCACGCATTCCGGAGGGCTCAAATAGTTGTATCATTGCGCCGTAAGAAAGTGACGGAAACTTTAAATGGAAATAGCTTCCATGCACGCTGGCCTTTTCGATTTCCGTTAACATTTTTGCAGTGGTGAATGCATAGCTGAAGTGCGCTTCAGCTAGAATTGTATTTACAAACGGGTGGTCTTTCTACGCGGATTAAAAATAAACAAGTGGCACGGAGTATAAGAAAATAATATGAATTCTGCAAAACGATAATCCGGGTAACGGAACTTGGCTGTTTTGAAAACGCCTTCAAATGCGGCGTGATACCTCACGCATTCCGGAGGGTTCAAATAGTTGTATCATTGCGCCGTAAGAATGTGTCGGAAGATTTAAATGGAAATAGCCTTCCATGCAGGCCCGCCACATCCCATCTCGGGTCCTGGTACCAGTTTTAAGGTCCGGGCCCCAAGCACGGAGGGGAGGGGTCCAAGGGGCATCCCCCGAGAAAGTTTAGAATTTATACGACTAATCGGACGCATTTTGAAGCTTCTATAAAGAATTTTTCCATCAATTTCTGCGGAATAATTATGTTTTTTTTTTTTTTTTTTTTTTNTTTTTTTTTTTTTTTTTTTTTTTTTTTTTTTTTTTTTTTTTTTTTTTTTTTTTTTTTTTTTTTTTTTCTACTTTCAGCACAAAATACTTGCGAATTGTTGCATTCAAAACATCTGGAACATTTTTATTTTTTTTTGTTTGGGGGGGCATATGATACTATTTTCAGTTCTAAGAGGGCCAAGCCCCCCTGGACTCCCCCATCGTTTCTCCATGGCAAGGGAGTTGAGCCATGAGCCATTGAAGTCGAGGATGCCCAGACTGGAGACTCTTAGCATCTGACGACGGAAGAAAATGAAACGCAGTTACTAAAAATATCCCTCTGTACTGAAAATCTTGAAAATAGATAGAAATTTTCCAAGAAGTATACTTCTTTGAAAATTTCTGATTCGTGTTTCTGAAAATCTATTCACCTTTTGCGAAATTTTTAGGGTAAATTGTTCACTTTTTCTTACGAAACAAGGGTTGCATGTGAATTCGTAGTGGTTTTTCACGGGTAACACGGGCCCCCTCCGGAGCCCGGGCCCCGGTACCAGGGACCCAGTATCCCCCCCCCCCTTGTGGCGGGCCTCCGCAAATCCTAGAATAATATTTTAATGATTTTACTTTTTACATGTTAGCGAAGTATGATAAAATTAAATCTTTCAGTTTTTTTCTGATGTTCATGTGGCTTTGTGCCCAAAGTTTTCATTTAAAATGGAAAGTTTCATGTTCCTGGTCTCTCAGTGATTGGTAAAATGGTTCAGAAATTACCTTTCAAAAAAGTAAAATGCGGTAGGAAACCGCAATACCGCAAACAGTACATGGTTTATTTGTAGTTTCACCTTCTATACTTGGATTTTAATGTAATTTGCGTGTGTTTATTTGTTCAACTCCGAAGTGCAATATATATGCAACTTGTTTTTTCACTTGCAGTTGACTATCGCTCGATTTACAGATCTTGCACAATGGACAAACTCCACGTCCATAGTGTCTTGAATGAAAACGTCGGAATTCTGAGAATATTTCCAAATATTACAACAAAAACTGTAAGTGTTTACCCAATCCATTTCCTTGTCAACAACCTCAAATTTATGAGCTGATATAACTCCCAGCACGATTTGAGAAATCTTCCTGTTCATCGATACTATAAAAAACATATTAATCTGGATATGGTTCAGTATTTAAAAAATCTGGGCTGCACATGCTAATACGTGTGATTTATGCTGCGTTGGAAATTACTTAGAAACAAAGAGAACAATTATCCAAGTTGTATGAACGGTTCAAATTATAATTTCATGGTCTATTCATTCGCAATCATGTGAAGTTTCACGGTGGACGATTTTCTCGTTGTGCTTTTGTTTTTAGGCCTCCATCTCAGGAGGCTACATAAAATTAAAGACTTGTAGAGCAGATCTTATGAGCCATGATCTATATGGACCACTCCATGAGTGGAATTAGAGAAGAATCTACAAAAAGGGCTGTGCCCTTCTTGTTGCAAGTGCATGGCGCTCTTCACGAATGTTTTGAAGATAGGTAAATTGAGGTTTTTTTGAGGAATAAGGTATATGAGAGTGGTCTGCTTAATATGCCTTCCATGTAAAAATTCTTGTATTTGGCCATGCCTACTCTGCCGTGCTAAGGAAGAACGCCGTATGAACATTTGAGAGTTGCCAAATTTCCCTTGATAAAGCATGTATTTTTGACAACATTTATGCATATTTTTTCTTAAAATTTTCAGATATTTAAGATTGAATAACGTACAAAACTGTCTGAAAATTTTAGAAAATAATATTCGCAATTTCTCCAGTAAATTCGGTTTTTATTAGAGGAAACTTGGCAACGTCTGAAAGTTCATACGACTTTCTTCTTTAGCAGTATTCTGCTGTGCTAAGGAGGAACGCCGTATAAACATTCGAGAGGTGCCAAATTTACTTCGATAAAATGTTTATTTTTGAAAAAAGTTATGAATATTTTTCCTTTAAATTTACAGAATCTTTAGGTTCAACTGTAACAAAATTATCTAAAAAATTGGGAGGAAAATATTAATAAGTTTATCAGGAAATTCGTGTTTTAGAAATGAAAATTTGGCAACGCCTGAAGGTTCATACGGCGTTTTTCCTTGGCACGGCAGTATTATGCTAGCACAAAACGCCACATATCGGTGACGAATCGAGAAAAATGCGTGTCTTGCCATTGAAACGTTTAAAAATCTCCGGTTATGTTCTACTTGCTTTTAGGAAAACTAATTAAAATGTTTCCTTGCTAGGTTGTTTAATTTTTTTAGGCCGGGTCAAGATAATTCCGAGAAAATTACAACATAATCGGTTGTTTAGTTTTCCTAGTTTGAAAAAATGAAACAGAGGCGGAATTTCACAACGGTGCAGTGTGAGATACGCATTTTTCGTCTTTAGCCGTCGATATTATGTCAAATTTCTCCTGGTAAAATATCGCACTATTTGAGCAAAGTTTCGAATAATCTCCCTGAAATTTCCAGATACACTAGACTAGATTACTGTATTAAATTATGAATAAGATTGTCTGATTTTTCAGAAAAATTGCCTAAGGTTTCCAAAAAATTCGTAATACGTCATAAAAAAATCTGGCATCAAAGTTCCAATTTTCAAAAAGTGTTTTTGAGCTTTATATGTATTATGTTTTTTTTAGCTCTATATGAATGATTTTACTTTAAAACCACTCAAATCTGAAGCTGAATTTAATTTAATTTGATGTAACCAAACATATAAATATGTTTTTATCGATCAATGATTATTTTCACAGGTTAATTCCTTCATGCAACCACCTATGGAGGGTGTAGTATTACAAACTTTCGGTTCGGGTAACTTTCCAACCAACAGGAAGGATTTGCTTCAGTGCATTCAAGATGCCACGAACAGGGGTATCATCATCGTCAATTGTAGCCAGTGTTTGACTGGAAGAGTCACTGATCTTTATGAAACAGGAAAGGTTTGTAAACGATGCAAGAGCTAATAATTGTTATTCTAATGACTAAATTCGAGAAATATATACATTCGCTGCAGAGCTCAAAAATATTGCACGTTAATGTTAAAAAAGAATCATCAAAACGTTTAAATGTATTGAAAAAATGATATTGGAATCGGTGGGGAGAGATGAGAATTGTTAAGAGAACCCATAAATTTCAAATTATTGCAATTTATTGCAAATATCAAAAGAAAGGTGATTAAATTTTATAGGCTGGATATAAAATCATGCACTGAGACAACAAGGTAGCAATAAAAAATTGCTTTTATAAAAGAATTAATAAAAAAATAATAAAATAAACAAAACTATCTAATACTCTTCTATGATATAAAATCATAAAAGTAACGCATAAAGTCTAAGCAGTTCGCCACCCTCTATACTTTGCAGTCCACGCTTCAACCCCCACATATTTACACACATATTTTAATGATTTCGAAAAACCTGTGTATCTACATATGAGGCGTGCACAGCATAATTGGACTGTGAAGCGGTCAGAGGGCGGTAAGAGTTGTATAATTCTGTATTTATGTGCAGCGTTTTGCTTTCACTCACCTGTATAAATCACTTCACAGTGAGAGTAAAAGTATTATACCAATAGGTAGACAAAATTAGAGGAGCGCAGTAAGGCTGAAATATTTTGTCTATTTTTCAGTCACTTTATGATGCGGGGATTATTTCTGGCCTTGATATGACACCGGAAGCAGCTTTGACCAAATTGGCGTACGTATTATCGCATCCAGAGTGGGATTTACCGACACGCCGATTAGTAAGTTACGTTCATCAAGTTAAATTATATTTAGTTAAGTGTATTTCGTTAAGTTACGTTTATCTGCTAAGTGAAACACCTTTAAATAAATGCAAATAAAGTCTCGTCTCCGCATGGTGAAAATTATCATAGCTCATTCAGGTGTAGGCAAAAACGCACATTCATCAGCCGCTGTAACAGCTAACGATCTCGCGAAAGCATTCCTACATTGATATTAAATAATTTCAGCAATTTCAAAAAGAAATGAAGAATTGGTCGCTATTTCAAGATAATATTTATTCCACCACAAAATGGATTCTTTTTGAAACAACCAGAATTTCTTCGTGGGAACACTCGATGCAGTCTTATTTTCACTCAAATAGTAAATTTCCAAAGTCCTAAAAAGTACAGATTGCAGTTAACTGCAATTACATGGCGAAATTATTGCTATTGTGCCAGAATGTTGTGTATGTTGCCTATGTTCACGGATTGAAGGGGCTCATAATTACTCATATTTTTCCCACGTGGAACTCATTTTTTTGATCGTTTAAAATCGGAACTTATCAACCAAATGGTGTAAAAATATTGTAATTTCATGGCAAAATAATTGAAACTTTACTGCATTAAGTCCAAAACGATTTCAATATCTTCGCTGCATGGTTAAATATCGACGGTGAAACTACCAGACCACGTATCTCGTTTGCGGTGTTTAAAAATCTCCACTCACATTTTATTTTTTTGAAGGAGATCAAATCATTATCATTCCTTACAATTTTCACAGATTTTTCTCCGCACAAAGAGGAAAAATCACGGAAGTTTTCACAAATTGACGTTGAATAGTTTTCTATTTAAAAAATAAAGTATGACAGGAAGTCTGCGACGTCGCAAACCGAGATACGTGGTTTGGTAGTTTCACCGTCGATATGCTGGTACGTACGTTCAGTTCATCGCTCCTCTGACGTTAAGGCATATCTGTATTTCCGCATGAGGTTCCGAAAGCATGGATATATATGTAAACTAGGGCTCAGGAGGACATCAAGATAGGCCCTTACATCAGAAAGGTGACGAAATTGGCGAATATCTACTAGGTCCGTGGGTGCTCGATCGATTCTTGGAATCTATCGATAAGTTTGCCGAGACGCTCTCGTTCAAACTCACCAGAAAACATCATCTGCGAGGATTTCCTGCTCAATTCTATGAGATCCCGTCGACTACAACCGAAGTACCGCGAAACAAGTAGATATTCATTAGACAACGGACTTCCAAAGACGCCAACATCGTCCGTGCACAGCGCGATGGGACAGCCCCGCCGGTACCACTTTTGAAAGTGGTGGTTCGCAAACCCGCCTTCGATCAGCTTAGCGTGCACATTACAAGAGAGGCAAAGCTCCAGCCCGATCTTCCGCTCCTCAATGATGGCTTCGATATCCGGGGCAACATTAATAACATGACCTAGCCTATCTGGCTCGTATGAGAGCAAAGTACGAAGCTCGGTATCCGTGCTTGACTCTGGCACTTCCGCGAAATGTATCGTGATCTTCAACTCTTTGTCTTTCGCAAGAGCGAACGCTGGTTTGAAGATGGAGATGTCACCTTTGAGGGGATCACCGCATAGGTCAATACCGATGATACCACGGTCTCGATATTTGATCGCGAGGTGGACGATTTCCATAGCTTGCTCCAGGGAGTTGCGACGATCGATGGATAGGATAAGATACGTTGACATGACTTCGCTGCTGTGCTGATTGATGACATCGAGTACAGTCTCGATGTAGATTTCCTTGGTGAGACCGGTTACTGTTGACTCTCGAGGTGTCGTGCGGAGTTCCAAATAGCGCACCCCATCTTCTTCGAACGCTTTAAGTACCTCGGCTGTAGTGTAAGCGACGGTGGATCGGTCATTGCAGAGATTGTAAATATAGGTATCGAAAAGCTTGAAAAAAGAGAGGATATCATGATGGGCGTTTTTAGGCCGACAGGCTGTTAAAGGATCTTCGAGATCGAATCGAGCTTTGGTTTTCCAGATTTCATGGAGGCACGCTGGACTAATGCTGCCTGTTAGATGAGCGTGCAGTTCGGCTTTGGGGAGTGCCTTTGTGAAGGCGGCGTCGACGGGGAGGTCCATCGAAAAGCTAGAACAACCGGAAGAACTGCGCTGTTATAAAGTTTGATCCCTAGTGTTGCTCGTGTTGTGCTAAATAGATTCTAAACGCGATCATTTCATTCAACACTGGAAAAAAATACGTTGGATCTAGAGTCCAGACACTTGAAAACATTGACAAGAAAAAATACTCTTGATTCAATCGGATTTTTGCTTGAATCAAAGGGAAATCCGCTTAAATTAAGAGGCTTGGTTCTTGATTAAGCTAGATTCTGATTGAATCAAGAGTACTTTTTCTTGTCGATGTTTTTAAGAGTCTGGACTCTAGATTCAATGTGTTTTTTTTCCCAGTGAAGACCACAAAAAAATAAACTAAACGAACATAAAGGTTACACTCAATGAACACCAACACAACACAGGATTTAAAGACTTTATACAATGTAGAGGAACAGTTGGCCACACCACATAGGTACAACGCTAATTGGTATGCAAATGTTTTTCAGCACCAAATTGCGTGCAAAAAAACGCACTCGCTTACAAAATTATGGAACTCCTTCTTTCTGTTATGATATACCAGCTGCTAAAAACCAGGGGATGCACGGTCGCCAGAGACGGCTGCACTGAAATTATATCAGTTAGGCTTGAGTGACTGATAACATATCTAACGGAAAAAAGAAACGTCTGCAATTGAATTGTTATATACTGCTCAACATCTCCTTATCATTTACCACTTGATAAATTAACATTTTTGCTCACTTCACCGCTGCATTACACTTTCAAATGTATTTTCCGGGAAGAAAATACATAAACCGAGAAGAATCCTAAATCTGAGAGCACGCTGAAATTACTTCATTACCACTTTGACTTGAATAATCTTTGATTTTTTGCTATAAGCAACATGATTGGACTTTCGAGCATAGAAAATGTTAAATACTTGCCGACTGAGTCGTTTCTCGTTTGGAAGGTGTCATATGAAAGCCACCAAGAGTTGATCGGGTTTAAAAAATGATGCAACTATTCGGCCTCTGATGCCACGCTAGGAGGTATCTTTTCACAATGAAGGCGTTTCACATGCGTCGACGCGATTCATCAACAAATTACCTGAAACAATCGCATTACTTGCTAATCCACGCTGCTACACTGCTGATTGGATGATTAAGTAATGGAACTAAACCGAGCTACGTAGTTAATGAGTTTCACCGTCGAGGTCATTAGGTCATAACCGAATAGCCACGTTAAATACGACAGTCAGTAAGACTAAAATAGCAAAAATAAACTACCAATCCTGAGTTCCAAACTTCATAAGAGAGCAACAACGGCCTGAAAATTTCAAAAATACGAAGATCTCCCTCTAAACTTTAAGAATCGTGAAAGAAACCAAAAAGTTGTTTCGCTCGTATAGTTAAGGGGCTTGGAGGACAAGGTCCATAAGTGCAGTTTTCGCTGTTTCGAAAAATACGTGTTAGAACTTTTGAAATTACATGAATCCTTATGGTGGAGAGAAAGTTCAAACTATCTATTTGACGCTTACTGATTGGAATTTGGGAGCGAAGTTTTCGCAGCATATGCATTAAGACGAGTTTTACTTAAAATCGTTAATATATCAACTTTTTCGAAAATTGCACTCAGGCGCCTTGTCCTCCAAGCCCCTCAGTTATTCTGATTAGGCGCTTCTCTGTTAAAGAGGCCTCTACATGTCCAACATTAACGAGTTACATGTCTTCTTCTTCTTCTTCTTCTCCTTCTTCTCCTCCTTCTTCTTCTCCTCCTTCTTCTTCTCCTCCTCCTTCTTCTTCTTCTTCTCCTCCCCCTCCTTTTCTTCTCCTTCTTCTCCTTCTTCTCCTTCTTCTCCTTCTTCTCCTTCTCCTCCCCCTCCTTTTCTTCCCCTTCTTCTCCTCCTTCTCCTTCTTCTCCTTCTTCTCCTTCTTCTCCTTCTTCTCCTTCTTCTCCTTCTCCTTCCTCTTCTTCTCCTTCTCCTTCTCCTTCTCCTCCTCCTTCTTCTCCTTCTTCTCCTCCTTCTTCGCCTTCTTCTCCTTCTTCTCCTTCTTCTCCTTCTTCTCCTTCCTCTTCTTCTCCTCCTCCTTCTCCTCCTCCTTCTTCACCTTCTCCTCCTCCTTCTTCTCCTCCTTCTTCGCCTTCTTCTCTTTCTTCTCTTTCTTCTTTTTCTCCTTCTTCTCCTTCTTCTCCTTCTCCTTCTTCTTCTTCTTCTTCTTCTTCTCCTTCTCCTTCTTCTCCTTCTTCTTCTTCTTCTTCTTCTTCGTATCCCATTTTAAAGAATTCGTAGATTTAATTGATTCATTGTAATATTAAAATGTCATTACAGATGATGAGTCGGAATTTAAGAGGAGAGCTGAGGGGGTCGCCGCCCCCAAATGAGCATCCGATGGACGTAGTTGCAAGCGTGGCATCCTCCTTCGGAATCAAAACATCCAGAGACCTCGCACAACTCGTCCTCCTTAGTATCGTCAAACAAGGAGACATCAGCCGACTCAAAGAGCTCAAAGATTTCGTAAGTTAAATTCTCATAAATATCACGGGGCGTCATTTTTTGCACACGACGAGTCAGTTACACACGTTAAACTATAAACATGCCAAGAACCAAGAGCTGTATTCTGTCGTTTCCCTACCGAAAGAACGTAACTATACTTCAATGTTGCCAAATTTACTTGTGGAAATTGAATTTTTACCAGGAGAATCTTGGGAATTCCCAACTGAAAATGCTGATTTTTCCTCTGATTCCATGCAAAAATCAGACAAATTTTCAACGAAAATTCTGCAGGTGTAAACTCGGAAAAATTGAATTTTTAAATACATTTTGCATCCTTTCAACGGAGTTACGTTTTTTTGTCCGAGAAACGACAGATTATAGGCTATGGATATAGATGTACCATTTGTACTCAAGATTCAGTCTCTGACGCTATTGCACTAGTGAATTTGATAAAATTGTGTTGCCCTCTCAAGCACACGATTTATTGTGGAGGAATGAAATTAAATGAAGTCTCGTAAAATTTTCAGGGCGCTGACCTCTCGTCAACGAACGTTGATAACAGGACTCCACTCCATATCGCTGCGGCTGAAGGAAATTTGAATCTTGTAATCTATTTATTGGAAAACGGATCGAATGTCCACATCAAAGACAGGTACTTTGCAACAGATTTGAAATTTAGGTTTTTTTTTTCTTGGTAAAAATAGCGAAACAGCATCGTTATTCCTTGATCGTTTTTATCTACAAACTCGAAAAAAAAAATTGTAAACTTATGAGTCTTAAAATGGATAAATGTAGGACCACCATCCTATATGGATAACCATCCAAGGAAAAAGGCACGTTACTTCACGAAGCAAGATTTTCAGTTGAGCTATTTTTATCGCATTGGGCAGCAAATAACGGATTTTAATCTCTCGTTGCGGGACTTTATTATGTAACCTAAACAAATGAGTCGGAACTAAATAGGATTGCAACTACATTTAATTTAAACAAAGCTCTGATAAAAGGTTCTAATTCGAAGGGAAGCCTGCTCAAGGTTAGATTTGTACATATGGTTTGAATTCACTAATATTATTTTTCTTTCAAAACCCCTTTTTTAAAAAAAAAAATAAACTAGCCAGCGTTTGGCACACTATATTATGCTATATTGTGCTGTTACTGTGTTATTTTAGGCTTAAACACTTTAACGGTGCACAGTTGGTATATGAGTGTTTGACTGGCCATTCCAATTTTTCAAGTAGGATTTGGCCATCAGGTAGTTTATGGTAGGCTCAGTAGATTCTTAATTCATAGCAAAAAATATTATTCAAAATTATTGATACTAATTTATTTTGCAGGCACGACCGGACGCCTTTACTCGAGGCTATTGAGAATGATTATCACGAAATCATCAAAGTGCTGTGCAAAAGCGGAGCTCATTTGAAGAAGCCGTACTTTAATATTTCTGAAAAACTGTGCAGGTAAACGGAATGTTTGAGCTTAATTGCTTGGAGTTTAAAACATGATTAATCCTAAACTTCGTTTGGAATCTTTTCAATTTTGTGATAACAATAAAATTTTAAAGTTGAGTCGCATATCACCAAATACGTCGCAAATTGATAAATGTAAATGAATACACCTACGGCCTACGCATGGGAAACGATCAGTAAGAGCAAAGGGAGAGCATTAATCTCGTCACAAAATCTGCCCTCCCCCGCCCCTTTTGATATATTTGTGCGGATCGCAAAATATCCTTCTTCGTGCATTAAACTTTCGGTATTTTGTTTCAGTTAATTGATGACAATCAAATGCGGCCAATATAAAACACCACACTTCCCTAAAGTAATTCATAAGATTAATTTTTTTTTCTCAGTACCAGACATACCGATGCCATTTCATCATGGTTCTTCACCATAAACTTTAAGTGTCTATCATACTTTCTGATATATGTTTGTTACGCCAAGTTACGTATGTACGTACGAATTTGTACGTTACCTATAATTTATTGTTAAACGTATGGGCATACTCGATTTATTAATACTCTCGTTTAATTTCTAGTGCTGCATCTTTCAATGATTCTAAAAGACTCGAGTCGTACAGACTGGCTGGTGCTGACCTGAATCAGAAAAATATTAGCGGGCGTACTGTAGCACATGTGGTGAGTAATGCATTTTTTTCTGTTTATCAATTAAGGGTTGAAGTATTGAGGACTCTAATTTTTTTTTCTGAGCTTTTTGAAGATTCGTTCTAACCTCTCCCATGTAATCAGTGGATATGTGTAAAAATATAATGTTAAAATATAGATGGCCAATGTCGTAAAATGTGTCTCCCCAATTGCGAAGTTACACATCTCCGTTCATGTCTTATTTTCTACATTACTCTAAACCATCCGACTTCATCTTCATTTCATGAAACTACTCAAAATCATTTCAAAAGAGGGCGATCGGGTTTGTTTCCTTTGAAAAAAAATTATACCTATTTGGAGATTTTTATACGTTTGGTATCCTTAATCTTCGATTTTAGCCATTGGTGGATGAGATAAGCTAAATATGAGTTTATAAGCAAGGAGAGGATGATTCGAATTCGTACGCCTACTTTACTTTTTACTAGGAATTCTAACTTTGACTCAAGATACTCATAATGAATGTACTAATAGTATAGCGCAATGCAAATATTGAAATCACTTTGCAAATTAATTCAAACAAATGAAATGTTTTCACCATGGAATTGGAATAATTTTTCATCAAGCTGGTCAATAAATGCCAATGTTGAACGATCAATAATATGGGTGCCACGCGTGAGTAAAGGTAGGCAATTTGCAATGCAAAAGAATGCATCTTATTTCAATTGCATCGCAATAAGTGGCGATGAGAGCAGCTCCTTCACTTACTAAGTAGACAACACGCATAACAACCTGATACATTCAATAGCAATAATTACGAGGTCTGTTAGATTAGAAACCGGATTTTGGTCATAACTAGCCTACAATGCGTCCAAATTACGTTTTCTTGAGCTTTTCTGATAGCTGAAAATATATTTAAGAACGCTACGTTCACAAATTTGAAAAATCCTAATTAGCTTCGTTGGTATGTGGCTTGAAGTAAGGCAACCTCAAGGGTGTTTTGCGATTTTTATGTTTGACCGAACTTGTCTCTCTTTTTTCGGTCTTGCACAACATTTTTCAACCCACAAGGACGATTGGAGTTTCGTCTCCATATCGTAGCCGTACACTAAAGTATTGTCACCTAAAATTATCCTATCCAAAAATGTAGGATCATTGTTAGAACGTTCAAGCAGCTAAAGGTAATTTGACATTTGGTTGGATTTTCGTTCAAAGGACAACAATCAAGGGGCAAGTGTACCTGAAACTCGATGCGTGTCTACATATTCTATCAAAATTGTATGTACAGAGCCTTCAGAAATATGACTTTGTTCAACAAGCTCGAAACGACCATTTTCGAGCACTTTTGCCCGCATTTCTTCCACGTGACAAATGTCAGTCGCCGTTGAGGGTCGATTCCCACGCTCCTCATCTTTAACGAACTTCTGACCAGTTTTGAATCGTTTAACCCATTCAAAACAGTGGGAACATCTCATACAATGATCATGGTAAACTTTTCTTAGCATATACCAAAAGTTTCGGTACAAGGTATACCGAGTTTAAAACAAAATTTAGTGTTGAATCTTTGCTCTGTCAGTGATCGCATGCTAAAATCGCAAAACGCACCTGACTTACTCGTATTCAAGATGACACAGAATAAACACTGATCAAAATAAACAAAATCTGTGAACGTAGCGTTCTTAAGTATATTTCCAGCTATCAGGAAAGCTCAAGAAAACCTAAATCGGACGCATTGTGGGCTAGTTATGACCAAAATCCGGTTTCTAATCTAACAGACCTCGTATACCTGACAATTGCAAATAGTTAAACTTGCTTACTTGGGTTACTGACATTCTCTTGCCATCTGTTTATAGGCTGCTCTGCATGGCAACGAGGAGATAATAAATTATCTACTACGGCAAAAGGTCGATTTCAGCGAGAAGGATCTTTTGGGTTTCACGCCTCTCGATATTGCACAGAAAATGGCACACACGCATATTGTTGAGTTACTGACAAAGACAAAGATGGCAAATGGCCGATAAAGTATTCTTGCAAAGTGAGTAATGGACCTGCATGATGAACATAGCCCCATTATTGCAAAAGACTCATCGCAAACTTCTTAACTCAACAATGTAGTTGATGTTACCGACACCAATTTTCTGTAATTTCACTCTCAAGGAGCACTGAAGACCAATTTTAATTGTTTTAAATCATAAAAAAATCTAGGAAAAAAAATACAAAATGAAATCACCAGACTTGCTTTTTTCTCAATTTTTATGCTCATTTGTCATTTAATGTCAAACCCCAAAATCATCTCACCAATGGAAATTTGGACACACGCAGTAAACTTTAGGTACTGGCGTTTTGAAATTGCCCCGTATTTTTTGGCATAATCTGTAACACTTTCGGGCTGTAACTTTAAATGATTTGCTATGTGATAAATAAAATAAGTGCGTAAATTATGATTTGACATAGCCGTAATACGTGTTTTTATGCGTTATGCGTAAGATATTAAATGTAATTATATTTCATAATCTTACATTCTGACATGTATACCCCACGAGAAATAGCTAGTAGGTATGCAAAGTTCACTAAGTGCCTGCATTATTGTTCTATTGTGTTCTTGTCAAATGCATATTTCTCATAAAAAAGGGGGAGGGGGCATTATTTTCGGAGCACAGCATGAACAGAAAAGATCTTACTCATTCAACATCAAAATTCAACTTTCAGAATGCACTTGAAAGAACAACGCAAAGTTTCCTTGTTTTCTTTTTAATAAATTAAAATAGGAAAATTCATAAAATTACAAGTAAATCAAATAAATTAATAAATAAATAATACCAACTCTAAAAAGAAAAATACAGTTGAAAACTACAGAGTGACTACGAAGGAAGAAACTGTCAATGCCTCTGTCGCGTAGACAATAAAAGCAGCAGTTAACGAAATATATGACACTTTTAATAAATATATTTTTAGGAGGGTAAAGTGTCAGTGAGACTAAAAGGCAAATATAAATTAGTTGAACACAAGTCTCACTAAATCAACTCATAACTGCACAGGTAAAAATAGGCGGCTTTCATAAAGATTTTGTGACATTTTTCACTAAAAATTTCGTAAAAAGAGGCAGTACATCATAAAATTGGGACACAAGTTCTGAATGTCGATCGGAGTCATAAACAGAGTTATTGGACATTTTCAAAATACGCTCCGTCTCTGCTTCCAGAGGAAAGCGCACTAATGAAAATTTCTAAACGTGAGAAAACTTTTCGAGAAAAACCGAATCTACGGTGATGGATTCCGTGCTGATTCTTCGCGTTTTGACTTTTTGATAGCATTCAACAAAGAGTTAGCAGCAACCGTGAGTTTATTTGATGTGATGGAGCATTTATTGTTGTAGTAGTCACAATCTCTATTTTGCCCGAGGCTGAGTGCTTCGCCGTAAGGTGAGTCTTCCAGCATGTACTGCACCCAACTGAAACTAAAATTTTAATTTCATTAAGTCACGTCATAAAATTACCGGATATATAGGTAAGGATATCCTTTAGAGATTCTTCAAAATGCCATTTTGGTAAATATTTGGTATTGATAAAAGTTTGGTCATGTGTAGAGGCATAATATATTTCTAACCAACTGAAAATAAATTGTGTACATTTTTTTACAACAATAAATAACAATTTACGGACAGTAAAACTCGTCCCCTAAGGAATGGATTCAAGTCTGATCCAGTTCATCTAGGTAAGTACGGAAGTAAAAGTTGACATTTGCAACAAACAGAAATCTAAGAGGATGGTAATCATTATAGTGAATGATACAATGTTAAACTTTTTCCGGGGTTTTCGATGCATGCACCGAGATAAATGAATCATCATGTTACTATAGAATTTTTCGATTATTTTTACCTCTCTTGCAACAATATTAATTTTTTAGTCTAGCGATAGCTTTTCTTGTCAAGGGAGAAATTAGTGTATTCGTGAAGAAAATTTTTATTGTCAAAGGAAAGAGATAAAAATAAAATATGAAACTGTTTTCTTCTTCTTTTCTCTCATCGTTTTTGTTGTGACGGGTGAATAACTCTCTCAGTATGCAAGGCTCCACTCTCAAAAAACAAAAAAATTATTCATGTTTTTATTCATGATTTCAATTTTTGTAAATGAAAAAGATTACCTCGAGATGCCATCAATGATCTTATCGAAGCTGGTGGCTTTAGACGCAGACACTCTATTGGCTGCATTCGAAACCATCCAGCAAACTACTTTTTGACTGCACTGCCCAGAATCGATGTTGAAGTTTTTCATAGTTTCTTCAAAGCGCGATAAGAGCTGGAATATATCTTCTCGTCCTGATCGTGTGTCTAAAAATTAGAAAATTTGAGGAATAGATCACGTTGATAAGTCTAGAAAAGTAAACATACATGCAGCTGATACATCGAGAGATTATCATTTCATATCCATGAAGTTCAAAAACTGATGTAAGATTCTCCTTCGTCTCCTGATTAAAATTAAGTTAATAAGAACGAAAAAAATTTTGTTCCGCTAAAATTCTGAACCTAATGAACCTTCCTAACAAAATAAAATATGTTATTAACATTCATGAAAAAAAGGATCTCAGTGGATTAATGAAAATTTTCGGGAAGGCTTTTTTTGTCAAGTTTGGTCAGGAAACCAGACTCTCGGTATTTTTGACATATGAAGCTTTCCATCGTCACTGCTTTGACAATTTATTTTATTTCATTTAATCGGGCGATATTGAGCTCTTAACACAGAAACTGACTGTAACTTTTAAGAACTTTCCATTGAAATTCAAAGGTATTATGAACTGAAAAACGAACAACCATAACATATCGGTTCGGTCTAAAACGTTTGTTACTTTTTCATGCCAAAAAGTTTGAAAAAACTTTTATTGCACTATTTGTCAAATCTATCTTAATTTTGAGTTCTTCGGCACTTAGGCTCTTCTCTCCTAGTCGTGCAGACACATATGAGGAATTTTAACTTGTGTGCTTTGTATCTCTCAAGTGAATTATGCATGCCCAATTTACTAACCCAAATAGCACAATGCAACGAAAATGTTGAAATTAAATTGGAATTTGATTTCAATACAATTGTAATTTTTTTACCGTTAAATGTTTACATCATTTACTTAGTCGATTTATGCCGATTTAAAACAATCAACAAAATGAGTTCCATGTGTCAGAAAGATAGGCAATGTGCAATGCAATGAAAAATTGCAACTTATTTCAATTTTATTTCAACAAGTTTCAATAAACGGGGCCCCTTCAAATAGGAGCCAGGCAACATACACAACACACAACACTCAGTTGATCACAATTATTTTACTGTGTAATTGCTACTTCTTGCAATCTGTGCTACATGTTGAGGGGTAGAGAATCTTGATTTGACAAGAAAGAGTAACTTACAGGAGCGACCATGACCACCAGAAGAGCTGTCTGAACTTGGCATCGGGAAGTAGAGCCGGACCAAAGTGGGAATAATGAAGAAGAGCATAAACATAATGACTCCAGTGGCTAGAATTGATTTAGTGTTAATGTCGATTGTTGGAAACGTTGGCACTTCGTCAGAAGAGTCTTTACCTCCAATAGGAATGGCCAAAACTGGCACTGCAAATACCATTTCTACCTGTCAATCACAGAGAGCGGTCGAGCTAACAGCGGCCAATACCTACCTTTTCATTTCTTCCTAACAGGCTTAAGTCTTTAGAAGTATTGTAGATGACAGCCATATGGACGTATTTGCCCTAAAAGAAACTATGTGCAAGTGGAAAGATGGAATATGCTCGTGAAAACTGCGTAAGAAACAGTGTAAAAGTAGATATAGTTCATTTTGAGAAAATGGAAAAGCGGGATTTTCAATTAAGTCAAAAAGAACTGAACGCTTGCTGACTCGTGAGCCGTGGGCACGTGAAAAGCGCGTTGTGGATGGGGCTCATGAGTTAAAGATCACCTTGCCGATCGTCGTCGCTCTCGTCGTTGCCAGTGACGTCACTGGCGCTTTACAATTCCCATTCATTCTTATGGCCCGCGCACTAACGAGCACACCCCATCTTCCCACTTGCACACAGTTCCATTTAGCACAAATAAGTCCATATGGTCAAATCACGTATTTATGTTAATATACATATGTAGAAGTGTTCTTGGTAAGTAGGCAGATTTTGAAGACTTACGATTACCTGCAGAATTTTGCGTATTTTTGAATAATGATCCTCAGTTTTTCAATATCACGATTGGCAAAATTGATTGAACTAAGAATTTTTCTTAAAATTAACTACACATTGAAAAATTTCTGGAATATCTTTGTCGGACAATCTTTGGAGTAGGTATTCTGTATTTCATTCTGATGATTATTAATTTTGAAATTCTCATTTAATTGCTCAGAATTCTTGAATGAATTTTTAAATAATCGAAGAATGCAGCGAAGAACCGCGAGACAACTTGTCCCTCATGAGAGACAAGTTGTCCCTCCTGAGAGAAAAGTTGTCTCTCCTGAGAGGAAAGTTGTCTCTCCTGAGAGGAAAATTGTCTCTCCTGAGAGAAAAGTTGTCGCTCGGAGAGGCAAATTTTCTATGGGGAGAGACTATCAGTCCCACCTGAGGGAAAGACTTGTGTGTCGTACTTAGATGCTCTTAGGTGTCCTGAGAGACAACTTATATGTCTTGAGGGACAAGTTTTAATTACTTAAAGATTCTTTCAATCATTTTTTAGCAATTAAATGAGCATGTGTCTCAAAATTAATAATGATTGGAATCGAATACAGAGAAGATGGTCAATAATTATAATTATTGACTTTCTACTCACGCATTTGATGAATTGCAAAATATAGCTTTTAGCTTTCGAAGAATACGCAATGAGAACTCATCAAAGACACGAGTCATACATTTTTTAAAAAAAGCCACAATCATTCAGTCATATGTATATTCAATCCTATTTTAGTCGCACAGACGAAAGGAAAATAATTGACCGGTTAATTCTACTTTTCTAACCTTGCGTTAAAGTCTTTTTACAAAATGTCAATATTTCAGCTGTAAAGTGATTGCAGAATCAAAAGGACATGAGAACTGATGAGGTAAAAATGCATGGATAGATTTCATTAAATTACAAAACCAAATTTTCAGCTGAACCCCTAAGAACAAATCAGTTGTAAAAGGGAAATTGAAATTGCAGTGTATCACTTATTAGTTGACAGTAATGTAGATAAGTAAATTCTTACTCTAATATTGCTCTGATCATTGTTGAATGTCAGGTAACGCCTCTTTCTGTGTGGTGGGGAATCAGCGCCGGCAGGTTTTTGATCGGTAAATCCACCATTGGTTCTAAAAAAATATAAAAGCTTCATTTCCACAAAATATTATGAATTGTCACTGTTACATCATAAAACATACTAAAATTTATTTTCAAAATACCTCCTCTGCCTTCAGCATTTGATTTAAAATGTCAGCCGTGTGAAAATAACGTTGTGGTGTAATTTGTTCATGTTGATAGATGATTCTTAAGCACCCTACACAGCAAATCTTACTCTATAATACACAATCATAAGAATAACCATATAACCAGGGTGGCAAAATTTCACGAAAAATAAAATCTTGAAATTTCACGTGAAATATCTCATGAAATTTCAGAAATTTATGGGAGATGTTGCAGAATACTGATTCCTTTTCATATTTCGCAAAATGTAAAAATCGTGTCTTTCTTCTATTTTGGTGTGTTTGACTTCGGGTTGCATACTCTAGCCCCTGAAAAATATGAAATATTTCACATTTTCGTGAAATTTCATGAAATATTTCATTGAAATTTCCAAGCTTTCATTGAAATTTCCAAGCTTTCATTTCTTTCTTAAGTTTCATGACACCCTGCGTGTAACGCCTGAGGTAATTTCAGGTTCACAGAATTACACTTTTAAACATAATAATGCTCTGCTCCAATAATGAAGTCAAGTCGAGTAAAGCCCTTCGTAAATCGAGTCGGATGGAACTGCGACAGAGACTGAATTGAAGAAATTTAGAATCAATAACTGTAATTTTAAAATTGGTCACGGTCGCTTAGATTTTAAAAAAAAAAAAAAAAAAAAAAAAAAAAAAAAAACTCGACTTTGTCGACTTAATATTAATATGGGCTAAAGTGCAAAACCACGTACTTTCGTTTGCAACGCTGCAGACTTTTTGTCATACCTTATTTTTTCTTTCGAAAAAAACTTTTAGTTTTCCAAAGAAAAAAGTGAGGCATGGCAAGAAGTCTGCAACGTTGCAAACGGAGGTACATGGTTTTGCACTCTGGCCCATATTGAAAATAAGATTGAGTCGACAAAGTATACTTTTGAAACTTTGAGTGTTTTTCTTTTTTTTTTAATTTTTTATTATTATTATTATTTTTTTAACAGTCCACAGCCTCAGACACCCTTTGCCAGGAAGAAATTTCTCTTGGTTGGAACTTCGTCATCATAAAAAAATGATTTCTAATTTTAAAAACTAGTACTATCCTAGTAAAACATCGGGGGACAGTTGACTTTAATACTTGAACTCGGCAAAGAATACATCGACGGTGTAAGTCGGCAATCACATAACTCGGTTTGTGACGTCGCAGACATCCTAACATACTTTATTTTTTGAACGGAAAACCACTCAACGGCAATTCTTTAAAACTGCCGTGAATTTTCTTCTCTGTGCGAACAAAATTCTGCAAAAACTTCAAGGAATGCTGTCAATTTGTTCTCCTTTAAAAAATAACATAGAGGCAGAGATTTTCAGACACCGCAAACGAGATATGTGATTGCCGACTTACACCGTCGATATGTATAAATCATAATCATAAAGTATAATACTTACTGCTGAGATTCTACTTTAGGAGCACCGCGATGTTGAGCATTGCCGAAATGTGGACTGCACAGAAAAAACGAGTAGATGGCCACGGTCCAGAAAAATAGCTTGCTCTGATCCATATTCCGAAAGTGTCACATTTTCACGAATACAAAGTCTCCGAAAAGTGGGAGTCACAAGTCATGGTCAAAATTTTTCCCGCTCCATTATTGGGCCAGATCATTTCTCGGAAATGAAACTGGGGGCTGCGGCAGGAATTCGATGGAGGGACCGATGGACTGTTTGTCGGAGAACCAAGGAATGGCTCAGGTCCTCGTGGAGTGGCGACAAAAAGATCAGGATTCGGTTACGCTTTCACGGGCTCCCTAAACACCGCTCTTCAGGCCGAGTGTCACAGTGCCCGAGCAACGGACCATAAACGCCAAACGAACTTTGAGTATAATTATACATTGTCGGTGGCAGCTTCAATCTTTACCAGGTTCATGTATGAAGATTTCTTGCAGTTTGCGACGAGTCTCATGATAAAGATGATTTTGTGGATCACTAAGTAAAATTGTTCTTGAGATATTATTTTGACTTACAGCGTCTTTTCTTGCCCACAAAATTTGGTTTTTTTAAGTTAAAAAAACGTTGTTTTGTTATCTTTTTTAAAATCTTAAATGATACCAAAAATCGTTTCTTCAACTCAAAAAACCAGATTTTGTCTGCAAAAAACGACGGTTTAAGTCAAAATAATATCTCAAAAAAATTGTTTTCAGAGATGTCCGCAAGGGACAAAAAGGAATCTTGAATAAAAAATTAAGGGATCCAGAAGACGCAGTTCAAAGTTCGCTAGTAATTGAACTGACGTTCTTTACGACCTCCTAAAAACTTTCCATTCGCAGATTTTCAGAAAAGCAGAGCTCTAAAGTGAATTTCGGGCAGATTTTATGTGCAGTTTTCAAGCTTCTGTATTTGATATAAGGAACCATTCCCTCTGTAGCTATTACATATCTTCAGCCGTCATGCGGTCGAAAGAGAGGAGCTCACCTCAATCACTAAACATTATATGATGATGCGAGTAAACATATTGAAAGATGCACTTTATAGTGGCTTTTCTCAAAACGGACATAAAGATAGTGTGGTTTGAAATATTTCTGGTTATTTTTTCTTTCTTTTTTCTAAAACAGAATTTTCCGTTTAACTTTTGAGCCTCTCTTTCAAATAAAAAAATCTTCAGAATTGAAATGGCTAAACTATGATTTTGGAGGAACTAAATCCGGAACCCGAACTGAATTTCCTTAAAGGACGGAACCGTAACCGAAAGCAGTTCCGAAATTCCTTCGGGTTCGCAGCAGAGACAAGAGCCACTGGCCTCTTGGCGACAGGTGGAAGCTTTTACTTTCGGGGATTCAACAGTTCCTTATGGACAATTATAAGGGAGCAACAGTCATCACCCTAATTTCGGCTGTTGACCTACCTACATGGTCGATGATGAGCTTCGGGTGACGTCATGAGCCAAACAACTTTCCCAAACGTCGGCCATCTTCGGCTTGTTTGCAAAACGAAACTGCCAACACGTTGCTGAACATCAACCATGTAGGTAAGTCAACAGTAGAATGCTGAAGTCTCGAAAGTAAAAGCTTCCACCATGGCCAAGATACTAGTGGAGGGTCTCTTGTCTCTGGTTCGCAGCCCTGGTCATAAATAATCAAAAAAGACTCATAAGAACTCATGGTTACGATTTCTGGTTAAATTTGAATTGTTTTCAGGACTGTCCAAAATTTACGATGCAGAATGCATGCGACTTGCATTAATATTAAGTAAACAAATTAAGGCTTCGCTGAACTTCATAATTGAGTGGACTTAAAAACTGTTGACGTAAAAATTATAGACGAAAAGTACGCGGACATTTAGTACGCGTGCCATCTGAGATATCTTACTCTATGACATGAAATTATAAGACGACGGTAAAAATACCAGACCACGTATCTCGATTCGCTTCGTTGTAGACTCAGTATATTTTTTAGATGGAAAACTATTCATCGTTGATTCTCGAAAACTTCTGTGTTTTTTATTCTCTGTGCGATGAAAATTCTGTGAAAATTTGAAGAAATGAAATTGATTTTTTTTTCTTTTCAAAATAGATAAAATGGAAACGGAGATTTTTAAACACCCCACTCGTGGTCTGGTAGTTTCACCGCCGAAGAGTAACGCGGAAGTATCAGTATCGCTAAACGATCAAGGCGCGGACCTTGGAACCTCTGGAGATTGGACTGTTAAGCGGTCAAGGGGCGTAGCCCCAGGTTACTTTTGAAGTGGAACCAATAGTAAACATGATCCACTGCTGATCACTGATCATCATAGTCGGTTTTATTCAAAGGATAAAATTTTACAGATTTTTTGCTTGGATTGTTTGATGTAATATTCATGTTCACGAAAGACGAATTGGCCGAGGAGCAAGAATCCACCGGCATCACGTAAGTTCTCAAGAATTCTTCGACTGAGTGGAGATCGAACGGCATGTCGAACGATCTTTCCCCTGAAACAGAATCGATGCAGCCTCGGTCAGTTTTAAATACGAATAGTCACATCAGTAAGAAGGGACTACAATGAGCTACTAGGGAGAAATACAATCAAAACTACTAGAGTTGTGGTTCCTCATCAAAATTTCACGCCAGAACTGTCGAATATGTTCAGAAATTTCAAAATCAACCGATAAGGAGGATATATAGGAGTGCTAAAGTTCGATTTAAAATCCATGAATTCAAACTTTTTAAAAAATTACAAATCTTAATACACGTTTCAGTGAACGAGAATGAACATCAGGGGCCGTCCCTGAATTACGTAACGCTCTATGGTGAAGGGGGTTGAGGAGAACGTTACGCCGTTTTGTTTGTACGTGCTAAAGGTTAGGGACCTACGTCGTATCAAAAAAGCGTTACAAAGGGGGAAGGGGGGAGGCAAGAATTCCGCTAAAGTGCGTTACGTAATTTAGGGATAGCCTCTGGGTGTTCCACTGAGGAGCATCAGTGGAATGCGGAACCGGAAATCAAAAAGCGGAACGTTAAGCACACCTCACGCTCGCAATGTAAGTGAGATTTTTAAACCAACAATAAGATAACATTATGGTGCAGGTGCATGGATCGACAGCTAGTGATTGTGTTTTATGATTACTGTTGTTGCTTCCAGTGGAACTTCATTTGACATCAAAACGACACAAAAACGCACGGCACGCGACGGCGTCTTTCACGCGAACGGAACTATGCAAACGCGTTTACTGTTTGAAATTTTCTGCAATTTCTCTTACCACGTAATTAAGTTCGAAGAAATCTCAAAGATGTAGGAATTTTCATCATCGTTTCTTCAAACAAGAAGAAAGAATTCTAAGCTGAAATTTATAATATTTGGTTAGTCAGACGTTTATTTTCAAACTGACTACACGGCTGAGGTATATTAATTAATTATAACAATTATGACTTTTATTATTATTCTTGTTTATTTGTTTCTTTCTCTCTAGAAGCAAATGTACCATTGTGCTTAAACCTCCTCTCTCCTGTTAGTTGAATATTCACAAAAATTCACAAAAGAGGAATTTCTAATTTCATATATTGGAAGCAACTGTTCGTGCTTGATGGATGTGTGCGTTGCATATCCAACAAATTGAAGGCGCTTTGAATCGAACGGTGCTTACCTCTATCGGGTCCCGCTGCAGGCGCAGGAGGAAGCTGGTAGTTGGGGTATAGTAAAAAGAGGAGCTTTGGAACAATGTACAGAAAAACTATGGCAGTAAAGGCAGCAGTGATAGACTGGGCATCTAGCTCTATGAGTGGCCCCACGCCGAAAATTGGTAACTTCACAAATGGTAGCACAAAATCAAGTTCGAGCTGAAAAATATGTAAACATTTCATTAGTTTTAAAACATTTTTCTAAGGGAAAAATATTTGATTAGACAAATTTTTTAAGACCACATTCTACATGTGATCTGGTTTGCTTTTTGCACTATTGACATATTGAAGTGTAATTCTCAAAGTGAATTTTTTAGTAGATTAATCATGTTACTGAGAATTGAAGATGAAGAGGTAGCTATTGAGGGAGAAAAGAAAACTCGAAGAGAAATAATTTTTACGCGATGTGTTAATGATAAAATACCAGACGCAGCAGCGCAAATTCCAGGGGAGGAAGAGCAGAATATAATATACTTCTCACTAATATATTTACCAAACTTTATTAAGCTATGGCTTCGTCAGGACAATTTTGATAAAAGAAAGCAGCTGCTTACTGTAGGATTTACTTTGATACTTATGCTTGAAGTAATATTTCAAATGTGCACACTCTGTACGACATTTCTAGTGGGTGCATAATGAGGCAAAAAAAAAATTAGTAAGTTTAGTTACAATGAATTTAATTTTCAACTCACCCTCGGGCCCACGAGATCTCTAAAACCAAAAAATCCTTTATCCTTGTAAAATCCATCTTGAATTCTCTCTTTGAACTCTGAGAAAGTCCTGAAAAAACATTGTAACAAAAATTCACTACTGGAACAGATATGCAAAAACCAGGACAAAATATTCTTACGTCTTAATTGTGTATGTGTAAGCTTCCTTATTCCGATTTTTAGTAATGTTTTCGAGAAAAGAAAGACAGGGTGGATTGGAGTGAACATTCGGAAAATTAACGATTTTATCTTGATGAAATCTTTTATAGAGCTAAAGTTTTTCAATTTTAAAGTCTTAAAAACATCGGCGTTTATATTTTTGCCACCACAAAGTGGCAACAAAATCGCGGTTTTTAACCTTCAAGTTGAAATTGCTCCATGATGGAGAACTTACCTTGCAGCTGCCGTAGTAATGTTAAAATTCAAGTCAGAACCAATAGCACACGCAGAATTTACTACTATCACCATGAACACGATTTTGAAGTGCATTCTACCACAAATATTGTAAATCAGCAGTTTATTGGCGTATGATTTAAGTCACACTAAAAGCGGAAGGGCAGCACCGATCATTTTAGAACTTTGGAAGCAAGTAATTTAAAGAATATAATTAAATAGATTTGAAATAGGAGCGAATACCACGACAAAATCGGACGACGAAAAAAGTAATTGTATGCAAAACGGAACTTAAATTAATTGCTAACTTATGAATAATCACCACTGGGGAAGTAGTTTTGGGACAGAAGCAGTGTCCAGGCTTACTTCGATGCAAGGAATACGGAAAGTCCGGAACGGGAAATGTATTTATTCCGTTATACAATCAGCCTGCAATCTTGGCTGAAATGATTGAGTAGTCTAATTTGCCTTCGAACGAAAGATTTCAACCATTGTCAACTTAATGACCGTCGATCGTTCTGCTGCCATTGCTTTGAAAATGAAAGTAAGGATTATCGTTGAATCGCATCGCCGCGCCGGCCGGTCAGTGAAAAAAAAACGTCGAACTTGCATCACTCATGGAACAATCGATTGTTCCTCGTTGGAGATATATTTTCGAAGCGTATGGTGCTGGGCACTGAAAAAAAAAGACATCTTACAGCAAAAAAACCATCTTTTTTAAGGAAAAAATATGATACTTTCATTTCTTTTATTTACTTATGTTTTTATGAAAGAGTACAGCAGGCGTTATATCGTCAAGCGGTGGTTCAAAAGCGACACGGAACATTCTCCTTAAATATAAGAAAATTCTGAAATACAAAAAGTAAGCTCCAGGTCACGCATTAAAACAATAAACCCGACACCTGCTGATAAAAAAAAAAAAATGTTCTAAATCAGGTCACGTAACCGGCTGAAGTCGGAAATAACAAATAGGTATCCGTCGGAAAATTTTAACTCATAGTGATATCATACATACTAAAGACATCGATTAAACGCTATTGCTTCATATTTTTAAAGTTTAAGTGCCGTGGCAGGGGGATTACAGCCAGGGGTCTGGACCTCTCCCCCTGGACAGGGACATTTTCCACAAAAATGTAATTTTTTGTGATTTCCAGGAATTTTTTTAAATTCGGTCCTCTCTCATGAGAAATTTTTGACTGCTCACCACCCCCATCCTTCCCCACGGAAAACTTCTGATCGCACCCTCGAATGTAACACTCAGGTGCAATATTAAAATCTGTGAACATTTTTGGAACAACTGGGAAACAGTTTAGAACATCAGAAAATATAAAGATGTTTTCAGTGGCGCTGCGTGCTTTGCGATCTATCGATTGATACGCCACTCAAACCTATAAAAAAAGATCGATTATCAGGGTGTTCGCAGCGAACGCCTTAGTAATCGATTCTTTACCATACCTTCTAATGGCAAGATATCGATAATCGATTATTCACGCCGCCACGCCACTTATGTTTTTATACTTTCATAATCAAAATAGTCGACAAAAAACGAGTCTACTCATAGAAAAAAGCATGATGATTCCGGTAAAATATGCCCCCAGTTGTTAATTTTTTCAATGTTTCTAGTAAGTACTCGTCATATGACACAATCCTTTCGATAAACAACATTGGGCTAAACGCTCTCACGCGTTTACCACGGTGCAAAGAAAACAAGGAGCTGCGTGCAGTTGCAGTTTTTCAGAGGATGCAAGCCTCATTTGCATGTTTAAGCGAGTGTTGCACACGATTATTCACCGCTTTCTGACTTCAAAGCAGTCCCCCCCTTACGTACCCCCCTCAAATGGCAGCCCTCTTCTTAAATATGTGTAGTTTGCAGAGGGCCTTCATTCCACCAACACATTTGACACGCGTTCTTTGATTTTAGCAGGTTTTGCGGAACTAGTAAACTATTTTAGATTTGTTCGAAAAAAAAAACCGAACCAAATTCTGGTAAAATGTAGCTCATTAAAATATTAGTCGAAGCTTCAAAATTTGTATCGATTTGTACTGGATGAGCACTGATAAGATTGCCTTATACGCTACTGAATTTTGAGGAGCTCTTGTGTCACGGCTAAAAATCTAAACACTCAGTGCGTCAGTTGCTAGTTACAGAGTCGTGTTTTGGGGGTTTGGGTTTATAGAATAGCAAAAATTAGAAGATCCGTCCAATCGCCAAGTTTTGCATCTAGGACGTCAGTCATCGATTCTTTATCCAGAAAACCAAATCAGCTACCTGGAAAAGGAATCGATGACTCCATTTACCTCGCTTATCTAGAATTAAAAAGTCAAAGCACGTGAATCTTGATTACAACTTTTAGAGGATACGCATAAAACCCCGGATCCACCATCTTTTGTCAAAGGTATCCGCTTAGCAAAGCAAAACTTCAAAAGTCGTTTTTGGAATTTTGGGTAATACACAGTATAGCTCATGGTATGAATGAAACATTTTAACCCTGGTGCAATATTTTAGAACGAGGAATCTTGACTGTGGGTAAAACTGTAAATAGTACACTCGGAGCATCTTTCATATTTTAACCACAGGTGTCACTACCGCGATGGATGACGTCAAAAACCCGACTTTTCAAAGGCAATGTCTCAGTTAATACTGAAGGTAAAAAGTTGCGGTTTAGACAAATCTCATTATTTTTAGCTAATCTACAAGAATCAAACATCAAAACACGATTCGGTGACCAGCGCAACTGGTCAGTTGTCGATCCTCTGGCGCGAGAGCTTATCTTGATTTCCGCAAGAGCCCTAGAAAGCAAAGATCTACTTCTAAGACAGGCGCACGTGGAAATTGATATGATGTCCTTCATATTCTTGAAAAAGGGCGGAAGTCCTAAAATTGATATCAGCTCAGGAGGATACTAAAAGCTCCTCCACTCAGAAATTATTTCAGAATCTTCAAACACATGTTGGTCCCTCCTCTAAGCAATGCAAAATATATTTACTTATCTCACTAAATCGTGTTTCATGCCTCTTCAGTATTTAATTTTTTGGACTTGAGTCTTTTCACCAGGGCCGGATTCACCTACTTGCCGCCCATGGGCCGCCTATATTTTGCCGCCCCCTTCTCATTCGTTTTGAAACTCGATAAAAACCATCAAATAAACGTGCCAGCGGAGGAGGGGTGCATAAGACGCATTTACTCGTGGTGAACACATTTTTTGGGAAAACCCTGTCAACAGTGCTAGCAAAAGTTCACGATACTTTGCGCGAAAGTTAAGTTTCGTAAACCTATCTCTGTAGGGATGAGGCATTCCATTCATAAGAAATGAACGAAAAAATTATGAAAGAACAAACATAAATGTGGTTCAATGATTTTAACTTCCGCCGCCGCGCCGCGCAGACCGCACCGTGTTGGACGTAATGCGTGAAGTATTCACGCAGTCTTGTAGGCGCTATGCGTTTCACGCTGACAGCACTGTGTTTGGCGCAATGCGTGAGGTATTCATGCATTCTTGTAGACGCTATCCGTTTCACGCTGACCGCAATGACCGCACTGTGTTTGATGCAATGCGTGAGGTATTCGTGCAGTCTTGTAGGCGCTAATATGTGTTACCTGTTACATGCCGATCGCCGCGCCGAGGGCTTCTCCTTTTCATCTCAAGTCCTCGTTATCCTTTCTCTCCAAGTCGCGCCGTTCTAGGCCAAATTGCGTGTTTGGTTTCTTTCGTAACTCGACTTATTGAGGGTGCTGTCTCTTGTATCACTAAGAGACGACAAAATTAGAAATTACTATACTTTCAGGAAATGAGAGATTTTTTCGCCTTTTTTCGTTTGTAATTTTGTTTTTATAAATCCGATTTTTTTTTTATATTTACACTTTAAAAAATAGCAAATTTTTGCCGCCCCTTAGATTTGCCGCCATAGGCCGCGGCCCATGTGGTCACCCCATTAATCCGGCCCTGCTTTCCACCAGAAACCGACGCAACTGTGATCCTCTTAAGCTGACCATGGAACCGAAAGCAGAAGTCAACAGCACCGTTCAGCGTCACACAAAACAAATCCCAAGACCTTGCGACAGCCCTACATGTGCAGTGGCTACAACAACATTGTAACCCCTTCAAGCTGACCATGCCACACCGAAATCCGAAGTCAATAACACAGTTCCGTCCTGCAGACAGTAGTCTTTTGAGATTGTGCAATTAATTAATCGAGAAGAAGGTTGGTGACTTACATGTGTCACGCTCTGCGGCACCTCCTCATAGCTCTGCGTTCCTCACCTGTTACGCAACCGAAAAAAGATGATACGAATAGCCACAAAAATTAAACACATTACGCAAGCTATTCAAGATGATCTCGTAACGTCTGGTACAGAGACATTGTCCCGCGGGAGGAGACAATGGTAGGACTCGAACAAAGCGAGGCGCGTAACTCGTTCATTATCCATTCTGCAGCAATTAAAGGGACTCTAGAGGAACTCCCGCGTTTTTGACCAGCGTTTTTCTGCGAGTTTTGACGCAAAAGTAGGGGCAAATTAGTCTATTGTTAATCCGAGTTATAAGTGATACACTTATATCTGGGACCCTTATTTGATACATCGGGCTCTGCCGAGAGCAGTTACATCTCTCGCTACGGAAAGTGGTCGATTTTTTTGTGCATCTTTTGATATTTTTCACGGGTTTTCTCAGTGTATAGTGTAGTAAGCGCATTTTCCTCCAATAAGTGTCGTTTACTCGGTCGTGTGATTTAGTGATGGTGCGTCTAATGTTTACTTGAGACATACCATAAAAACTTCATCGTGTTTACTCAAAGTTTATGTTCTTCACAGTTGGGATATTTTAATTGGTGAGTATGTTGATTGTAAACTGTATGGACGTGTTTAACTTCAAAGGGTTTCAAATAGGGTGAAGAATAGACTTAAGCAACATCTAATTGAAAAAAGGGTTCTATTAAGACCAAAATAAGCCTCCTCTGAATTTGTGTTGTAGTTTGTGACAATAGAAGGTCCATAGGGTAAAAATTCCAAACCATCTATCTCGCTTGAAAAGTTAAAAAATCCCCTCTCTGCATTTTTTTAATTAAGAGAACAAATCAACATCAATTTTTTTTTCTTTTTTTTTTCTTAGAATTTGCTTTGTGCTAAAAAGAAAAATTATGGAAGTTTTCAAGAATTAACGTTGAGTAGTTTCCGTTTAAAAAATGAAATATGGCAGGGAGTCTGCAACGTCGCAAACCGAGATGCGTGGTTTTGGACTTTCACTGTCGATATTTAACTAATATAATTTGATCCAGCCAGTTATCGAGTCCCTTTGGCGAGATACATACAGAGTGGTGTGTACACAGAATGGGGGCCCAGATCTATAGTATCAGGTTTTTTTCTCGGTTATTTTTGGTCGGGCGAAGTTTAGGACCGCGGGAGCGAATAGAGACCAACCTTAAGGAATCTGAACTTCATTGTCTTGAAGCTCCTTGGATTCTCTCAGAGGCTGAAAGGGGAGGGGGGTCCTAACTTTGAAAATCGGGGTTTTCGTCAAAATTTTGAAATTTTTCAATCAGAATCAAAAAGTGCAGACAATTTTTAACTATTTCAATATCCAAATGGTCCAAGATCGGCCCATCATTGCTGTCCGAAATATTGACTTCTGAATTTTGAGGATAGGATCATCCTCGACAAAACGCGGGATCACTAAATTGACAAGGATGCCCGAAAAATAGGGTTTTCGTAGGTAATTGACCCTAAGGAATTCGAATTTGACAATACAAATGCCCCTTAGGGCCTCACTGGTGGGAATAGAAATGAGCCCTAAAATTAAAGATGACATGTCTATGGTATGTCCAGTGCCTCATCCGCGAGGTTTTGAGGGCTTCGGCCCCGTCTGAGTATGTCAAAGCCCCAATCTAGCTCAGACCTCTCGAAAATTTTTATATAGATGTAGTGGTTTCCATGGTCAGCGATTTTCAGCGGGGAAAAAAAACACAAAAAAAAAACTCGTTGTCCACTCTCTCCTGGATTTTAAAAATCTGACAGACGGTTCTAAGAAGATTGTCGTACACTCGTACACATCATATTACATCACATCAAGTTTGTTCATTTTAATGAGAGGTAAAGTCCCCCCCCTCCCCTGGATACCCGAGAGTAAAATTATCTTCATACAAAAATTATATTTTGAATGTTTCAGACGATGGGATTCTTGGTAGATAATTTTTTACTCCTATCACTTCTCCTACGAATATCAGCGATTTACGGAGCATTGCCAGAACACATAGAGTTACCACCGAAGTAAGTAACCCTATAAATGTACATTTACCTCCTACCTATCAATTTGACGAGGTACCTTTGCAAGTGCCATACTTGTAAATACCATCGACGTAAAAGGAGGAGGGAAACATTGAAAGTCCTCAATATAATTCATTTTATGAATGGGTTTTATTTCATTTTTAATTATACTCTGATTAAAACGCTTCGGTAACTGTAACAGTGGCGAGGCATGAGTGATTGATTATCGATATTTCACCATTTGAAGCTATGGTAAAGAATCGATCATTAACTTCGTCGCGAACACACTATTTATCGATCTTTTCCATAGATTTAAGGGCAGATCAATCTATACATCGCAAAGCGCGCCACACCACTGAATTGCAATACTGTGTCAGAACCTTCCATCCGAGCAACTGGGTAGCAAATGAGATCAAGGTCTCTTATGTAATTTCATTTTTTTAGGGTCATTACATTTATTTCGTAAAATTTCAAGACAGCGCACAGTGCAGTGTCCTTATGGGCGGATGGGAAATAATTCATATCTGATCGAATAATGCATGGAATTCAATGAAATTTTGACAGTGTTAAGTATTCATCATGTACTTGCTTGTATTAAAGTCAAAGTTTCCAAAATTCCCCAAATGATTGAATATGGTGTTGCCAAATTTTGCCAAAGGTGCCGTTATTTTTCCACTTATTTTAATGACATGAGTATATTATTTGTGTGGGTAAAAGAGAGAAAACCAACCTGAAATCACAACTAATAAGGCTTACGAGGGTATATCTGGCCCTCTCATAACACCTCCATTTTAAATACAGTGTTGCCAACGCGCCTGGAAAAAGCAGTTTTTTTAGCAATAATTCAAGGATTAAAATGTATAGATTCACGCAAGCTTGCTCCAAAAATCGACTTTATACTTACAGATGCTAACGATGCATATTTTATTTTTTAACTCTGGGCCTAACAAAACTAAGGTCTATCCTTTCTTTCATTCCGAATTCGAATGCTGCGTGAAATGAAAGCTGAAAAATTCAAATATTCACTATAAAATAATGAGGTTTCCGAGGATCAGCATGAGAAAAAGGACGAACACTTGGATTTGGTCATATTACAAGTCTTTAATAAAAAGGAAAAAGCATTTCAAAAAATAAAAAATTCAGCACAGTAAAACATCACCGAAAATTTACAGCAAAATTAAACTTCACAAGAGACAAGAGAAAAAAGAAAGATAAAGACAAAAAATCCATAAAAGTACGAAAAATCCATAAAAAATACAAGACATATTGTCAAATTTTCGTCTGAGACACGTTTGTTTGCGAGTAGTTCTCGGAGTTTCCCCTCAATTGTTGTAACGCACTCCTTTTTCGATGCCCGTGTCCACAAGTCGAAGAGATCTAGTCCAGGCGCCTGGTAGCTAAAAATGAGGCTGCCTGGAATTTCGGGTACACAGCGATTTTTTTACCTGCTTTATGTTTTTTGGGTCGCTGAATCCGAATCTGAGGTTTCCAACCGCGTATCTGGTGAGCATTTTCCGCCATTTTGAAAAAATGGCCTTAAAAGGCCTTTTTTTGTGGTTTTTTTTATATAGCGGCTACGCATGAGAAAAAGTCCCGGATTTAGTTAATGTTTTGAATAGCTGACATAATTTGGAAGAAAATGGTGTGTACAAATGCTAGGTTTGCTTAAAAATTGAGGAAGATACAGCATCGTGAACATCGCGCCCATTCACGTTTTCGCGGCGCACCCGTCAACGCGCGATCCGGCTCGCCGCGGTCAGCCAAGTTCCGAAGCGTTCCAAAGTTCCGAAATCCGAGGCTCCTCAATTTTTGAGCAAACTTAGCATATTCATATACCATTTTCTTCCAAATTATGTCAGCTATTCAAAACATTAACTAAATCCGAGACTTTTTCTCATGCGTATAGGCGCTATTTAAAAAAAAAAAAAAAAACCCGCGAAAAAAGGCCTTTTTAGGCCATTTTTTCAAAATGGCGGAAAATGCTCACCAGATACGCGGTAGGAAACTTCAGATTCAGATTCAGCGACCCCAAAAACATAAAGTAAGCCAAAAAAAATCGCTGTGTACCCAAAATTTCAGGTAGACTTACCAGGCGCCTGGACTAATCAGAGTTTTTCAGAGCAAGACCTTGAGACAGAAAAAACGATATAACTTTATTATTCGCAGCCAGACGCAGATGGGACTTGAAAATTCAGAATCTACAGGAAATTTGCAATCATAATCACTTGTCAGGAAAATAGGTTATTTTTGGTTTTTCTTAAAAACGTCTTTAAAGTTTAAGTAAGAGGGAAGAATATTAAATTAGAGTACCATCGAAAAACCTGCTCAAAAGTAATGTTTATAAGTTGAAAAAATAATTTTTACGATTAAATCTTAATTAAATAACTTACCAGGAGTGTTTGTAGCCATTTTTATCACCAACCCGACATTTGTTACCGTGTCAATCAGCCTTGATCACTGCTATCACAACACTTGCGCGTCATCGGCTACCGGTCACCGCGCGCGGAGCTTAAATCTCATCACCTCCCCTCACGCCAATTCGATGCAAATCAGTAAACAAACATTGAAAATAACACCACCAATGTCCCCATTTTTCGTATATCTCATTACTTTTTTCATTTTATATGTTCGAAAATTTGACTTATTTCCATTGGACACTGCACTGTGCAGCGCAAGTATTGAATTCTGATTTAAATACCTAACATTTTAGATATCTTAAGCTATATTTAAAATCCAGTATACGTGTCTTCGGAACTGCTTTGACAAAACAGTTATCATTTTTCCTTTGTCTAGGGAATTTTTGCCAAGCCCGGTGAAATATTTCTCGAATGAAGTGAACCGAGACACAAATACTGTCACAGACTCATCGCCCAATAGTGAGAAGCAGCAAGAGCCAAGAGTCGGGTACATTAACAATTCAGGTTACGGCAGCTCTGCAAGCGGTCTCGATTACGGTTCTGTAAGTATATTTCAAAGTTATTTTTTTCGGAGAAGATTTTCAACATGAAAAGTGTACACAAACTGATTGCGGTAGACGCACGGGTCGTAAGACGGTAAGTTGGAATTTTTTAGCCAACGTTCCCTAATAATCAGCATAAAACTGAAAATCTCAATACAGAGGATACAGGTCTTTTGGAGGATATTTGAGGGGAAATTGTGCTCATATGAGCTTTTCCCCTCTGTATTGAGATTTTCAGCTTTATGCTAATTTTTAACGCACTTTGGCTAAACAATTCTAACTTAATATTAGAAGTGTCTTGCAGTGAGTCTGTTGCGGACAAGATATAATCGGTGGCCAATGTGCGAGACTATGTACCTACATTGCGGTGTCTCCAAGTTTACGTCACTATGTATTTTTTCGAGGATAACTAACTTAACTTCATAGCTTGAAATTCATACAGAATATTCTTCCAACAGAGAAGTAAAATCAAGGAAGTCTTAAAAAAATTACGTTGACTAGTTTTCTGAGGAAAAACTTAAATATGACAGGAACTCTGCAACGTTGCTAACGGAGGTACGCGGTTTCGCACTTTGACCATTAAATTAGCGAACTGCGTTAAATTTTTGTGGATAAAACCACACAAAACCACACATAACCACGTTGAGTCCATCGAAAATGTTTAACATCTACCTAAAGTTTACAATTTCTACAGTCCATATAGCGCATTATCAAATTTTTACCGCTTTGCGGGCACTTTTTGCAGTCGCTGACACTCAGATTTGTCCAGAGGGAGAGATGTAAGAAAATACCACTTAAATAAACAATCTCGCACATTGTTACAAAAGTTCCTCGTACTCTCTTTATCCGGAAAATAACAGAAACAAACGCTTCAAAACGGCTGAAGTCGTGTGCGAGAAAGATGAATAACACTTTGTGAGATTGTTCGTTTATTTGAGCTAGATTTCTCCTACAACTAACTCGTGGCAAGCGTGATCGCGGGCAAGTGGTGACTGCAAAAAAAGTGCCGGCGGATCGTCAATTTCAATTTAAAAATTTGTGATTTTATGAATTTTTTAACTTTAAACTTTTTTTATTTAAACTTTCAGGGATATTCCGGCGCCCCTGGTCTATATAGTCCAGTGCGATTGGACATCGGAGTCTTAGTCCTGGGTGCAATCGTTGGACTTGGTGCCATCATTATTATTCCGAAAATTCTAGCCCTCTTCGCAACAGGAATTAGCGCTTATGCTAGTCATGCCTATGGTCGAGGTAACATAACTTCATTAGTGAAATATGTTTCTTACAAAGCGCATGAAAGGTAATGATTAAATTCAAAGTTTGCGGTGGCAGTTCAAATCTGAGAGTGGGTAGAATTCAGATGCTAATAAATGTTTTAAAGTCCTCACAAATACAGCATGGTTAATTGTTTAAATAGTAAAAAAATTACAGAATTTTCCCGCAAAAGAAGTGTAATAGGAATGAATAGTTTTCCAAGCATTTATGTTAATATTACTTCTTATGCGAGAAAAGTTCAGAAATGTATGCTTTTCAATTTCGCACGAAAGAGAAGGTTGGCTGCGGTGCGATGAGCCACAGATCTTGGCGCCACGCTCGGATCTCGGTTAAAATCCGGGTCTTTCATCTCAGTATTCTTGAGAAAATGTTGCTCCTTTCAAACCATGGCAGTGTCGTTTATTAAAAGTAAGACAATAAATACAAAAATTAAAATACGATTCTTGCTAAAAAAAAAAGAAATATTGTTAGATTTTTGAATTTTTGTCGAAATTAAACCTAGAAATGGCGAAAAAGAAGTCCGATCTTTTCCATCCAGGCTGTCGAGTGTAACATCCCTCTAATTTCTCATCTGGACGAACGAACTAACATTATATCTCAAGTATGCATGCTCTGAGGATTATTTTGTCAGTGCAAGTGGAATAGAGGAAAGCAAGAGTGCCTTCAATTTGAATGCATGCAACAAAGACATCCCCTGAGCAGGTATAGTTGTATCCGAACTCGCAAGGCGTTTTCATCTCCAACAGTTCGACACGCTACGACCGCTTTCGCAATCGTACAGATCAGATTGTATTTAAGGGGAATTTTAGGGTACTTTTTTGACTCGCAAAAGCTGAGGCAAATTGAATTTTTCTGAATTTGTTCGCGCTAATCTTCAGGTGAGCCAGTGGACGCAGCTGGAATCATGGACATGATGGCAAAAATGGACGAAACTTTGTCAAATTACAACATCGATTCCTCTGCCTGTATGCAGAAGGCTATATGCTCATACTTCCAACCTCTCTCAACACCGCAAGGCAAAGCCGACAATGGATCTCCTATGCTCAAAATGGCTCTAAAGTAAGATTTTAATTTTCCTTATCTCTTAAACTTAGTAGCGCTTTTGCGTGGACTTCAAGGGAGGCTTCTTCCTCAAAATGAAGGAAAACATATTTTTTTAACACCAAAAATTTAAGAGAGGCCTTCCTTTTTTTAAACACTTACAATTAAATACGCTATTTTTTGAAAGGAAAAATGTAATCTTTCCGAGACAAGATGCAGAGAGGAAAATCAAAATGGAAAAATAGAGAGGAAAAGATTTAACTTATTTTGACCCTTAGATGTATTACGATCTCAACTTAATCATGAGCGCATCATGCGCATATTCATGAATCCACTTTAGTTTTCAGCACATTTTATCCATTTCAGTAATTTTATAAATAAGTGTAAATAGTGCACTGAGGTGAAGTACTTTTTCTGAGGTTGTATGTACATTTGAAAATGATCATGGCATGGTCAAAATTCGTACTTATCAACAAAGTGAGAAATACTATGTGAATCATCCGCAGTGATTCGCATGTTCATAGGCGTAGCTAGAGGAGTCCTGCCCCCC